AGGGGACATCCAAGGGTCTGGGAGGCAGAGCGCTGCTCCAGCCCTTCCTGGAATTGCTCCTCACGAGGGGCCCTTCCCATTCCTCGCTCTGGCTGTGTGACCTTAGGCAAGTCACAGAACCTCTCTGGTCCTCAGCTTCTTCTGCTTCTGCTCCACTAATTAGATAGGATGATATGCACACCAAATGGGACTACAGGGTGTGAAGAACCTCTGCAAACCACGAGGCGAGGCTGGAGGCCGGAGTCCTGGCCTGGAGGCCTGGATTCTGGTCCTAGATGTGTCCCCAGGCTTGAGTGACCTTGAGCAAGTTTCCACCCTTATGTAGCCTCCGTTTCTTCCGTTCAAAGAGGCCTAGGTGAAGACAGAACTGTTCTATCGTCCTCTCCAACTCCCACTCTGGACTCAGGGCTGGGAGGGTGGGCAGTGTGGGGAGGGGAAGGTCAAGGTCCGGTCACAACTTGGCTGGGTCAGTGCCTGGGCCGCACGCCGCAGGTCCCGTTGGGACTGGCTAGAGGAACAGCGCCATCTGCTGCGAGGAGGGGGCAGGCCTGGGCACGGGGCTGGCTGGAGGCCCAGCTGCCTGCCCACCGTGGCCTTGCAGCCACTCCCCAGGCCTCCCTGTCCCAGGGCCAGGCTGGGAGGGCGTCCCTGGGGTGCCCTGGGCCTGGCCAGGTCTTTCGCACCCTCCTAAAGAAGCCCTCAGCAAAGACTTCCAGTGGGCTCTGCATTCCACTGCTACCCAGCCAGGGAGTTTTAGTGCCCTCACCCCACCCTGGCTCTCAGCACTGGGGGGAAGGGGCGGGCACTGTCAGACCTGCCTGGTACCCCATCACCACCTCTGTGGTCTTGGGCAGTTTACTTACCCCCTCGGAGCCCCAGACCCCTCAGGGAGAAGGGGCTAAGAAGCCCCATCTTTCAAGGCCCTAATGAGGTCAGATGGAGCCCCTGGCATGTACCTCATGCAGGTAGGGCTCAACAAGGAGCTGCCCCCCATTCAAATGGGGCTCTGAGGGTCTTCTGGTCTCTCACTGCGACTCAAAGTGTGGTCCTGGACCAGGGCATCGACAGCGGTGACAGCCAACCTCAGAGGTCCCCTCCCGCCACTCTGCCACACAGACCCAGCCTCCACCCCACCTGCGGGGAAGAGGGTCACTCAAGGCGGCCAGTGTGTTTCCACATCCAGTTTATACACAGCTCTATACAATATACAGAAACCTTTATATACAGATATATTTATAGAATAAGCTATATTAATTTGTCTCTCCTTTTTACAGCAATATTAGTTTGGATCTTTCATACATTAAGTACAAAAAAAGTCATGGGAGAATGGCACATACAGTGCATGAGTGTCTGCGGGGCCCAGCTGCTCACTACCGATTGCATATGGAGGTCGCCCGGGCCCCTGGGAGGACAGGGCCAGCGTACGGTCGGGAAACCTTGTGCTGCAGGTCTAGGGGACAGAGTGGGGGTCGGTCTGAGCCGAGCTGGGCTGAGGGGGGTGGCTCAGACCCCCCAAGTGTGGTGTGCGGAGGAAGGGAGAGACACGCAGCAGGCCCATCCTGCAGGGGAGAGGCGGGGAGGGGGCGGGTGAGATGTGGGCTGACCCTGGAGCATCCAGGGCTGAGTCCGAGCCTGCCCCAGCCCCAAGCCTGTAACCCTGTGCGGCTGCAGCCTTGGGGGTGGGGGGTCTGTCCCTGATGGCTCAGTCCTGGGCATGGGTGGGCACCACGACCCCAGGCCTCAGAGATCCCAGGCCCACCCTGGTGGAGGAGGAGTTAAAAGGCCAGACCCCTGGGCTTCCCTGGTGGCGCAGTAGTTGAGAGTCCGCCTGCCGATGCAGGGGATCACGGGTTCGTGCCCCGGTCCGGGAAGATCCCACGTGCCGCGGAGCGGCTGGGCCCGTGAGCCATGGCCGCTGAGCCTGCGCGTCCGGAGCCTGTGCTCCGCAACGGGAGAGGCCACAACAGTGAGAGGCCCG